TCAACATCTCCTCCTCCTCCTCCTCCTCCTCCTCCTCCTCCTCCTCCATCGTCTCCTCCTCCCTTCTCTCTCACTTCTGCTCCTGCTCTCCCCTTACCATCTTCTCCGGTGAGATTGCTGAAAGCACGAAGATCATTAGGCAGAGGTCCATGCTTGCAGCTTCTACCTGACATGAGCATCGTCATTACAGCAGCATCTTCCTCCTCCTCCACTGCCTCCTTCCTCTACCTCTTCTTCGTCCTTCGTTGCCTTCCTCTCTCCTCTTCCTGGCTGCTCTATGTCTTCTTTCTCTCCATTCTGTTCCCTCTTCACTCCTGCCCCCCCGAACTACCATACCTTCTCCTCCTCCTCGTCTCCCCCCCTCTCCTCCCCATCCTCCACTTCATCCTCCTCGCCCTCGTCCACAACCACCACTCGCACCATCATGCTCCCCATCAACCTCTCGTAAGTCACATGGACTTGAACTTGACTCACATGTTCCAAAAGAGCATCTTTGGTGATGTCATTGACAAAACTTGTACACCTTGCAGCCGAAAATAATCAGTTTGAACGCTCAGCTCTAAACACTACTCATTACCGCGATTTGTCGTAGCCTTCCGATGTCTGAAGAATGCTAATCGCATTCTCTGAGAAATCGCAACCCCTGTTGCATCCAGTCAGCACTGTAGCGATGACAGTGCTGTTGGCGGTGATGGTCGGGGAGGTGCAGGTGGAGGGGAAGGTGACAGTAATGGTGATGATAACAAGGAGGAGGAGGAGGAGAGGAGGAGGAGGAGAGGAGGAGGAGGAGGAGGAGGAGGAGGAGGAGGAGGAGGAGGGCATACCATATTTGAGCTGTCGGATTCACTTCCAACAAGGGGAGGATCGTGTTCCCAACTCCACATCCGACCTGAGAGATGTTCTCAGCAACACAACAACACAATCGCTCATCTCTCAGATTCAGCTCACTTCGATGATTTTCAACTTAGCATCTCTCAAACAATTCCATTCCTGTTGTGCTTGAATCAATTGTAACAAGACCGTCGGTGATGGCACAACAATCTTCACCTTGTCGAGGTAATGTCTATCCTTGAAGAATCTGTTCTCATTTACCTTGAATTGCTTTAGCCATCTTTATCATGTCAAAATCTCGTTCACCTTGTAAAAAACATCCCAGCATCTCCTCGCTTCTGTCTCGTATCTGTTCTTCCAAAACTCCGTCACCTGAACAATAAGAATTCACGTCATCCCTTGAAATCACACAGAGAAATTTCAAACTTACAGGCCTGTTGTCCTTGAGAAGGATTCTTTTCATCTCCTCCATGGAGACCTCTGTAGAACATAGAGACATCAACATGGCTCCCGGGAAACAAATCTCAACACTCATATACTACTTGCACATTCTCAACAAGCTTTTGTCAGTCACGAGTCATGATCTCAAACTTTTAGGTAATGACATCATTGAATGTTGCTCCACCTTCCCTCTCTACAACTCTCTTCAGCAGCGTCTTCACTCCTACCTCTTCCCCCCGCGCTCGTGTAGTAATCCCCGTCCTCTACTTTCCAAACTCCGTTGGCTGGGCACGAAAGTCAAGAGACAGCATCAGGACAAGGAGGGTAGAGGACAAGGAGGGTAGAGGACAAGGAGGGTAGAGGACAAGGAGGGTAGAGGACAAGGAGGTAGAGGACAAGGAGGGTAGAGGACAAGGAGGGTAGAGGATAAGGAGGGTAGAGGACAAGGAGGGTAGAGGACAAGCGAGCAAGAGGACAAGGAGGGTAGAGGACAAGCGAGCAACGAAGCTTACCGAGCTGCTCCTGGTCAAACGGAGCCAAAAACTCAACGTCGTCGTCGTGCTCATCGTCCCTCGGCTCTATCCTCGTCATCTCAGATATCTCCACTGCTCTCCTCACCCCCCTGTCGAAAAATTTTCTTCAGCCTCCACGTCCACAAGAGCAGGCGGGCAAACCTCTCGAACGTCTCACTCCACGCCCTCGTTGCATCTCCCGCATGCTCCCACAACCTCTCCACCGAGCTCTCAAACTTAGCATTGCCCGCCGATGCGACCCTCGATGTGCCACATTTTTGGATGCTTCCCCAACCTCCTCGTGAACTGTCCATTCCCATAACCTCAGCTTCGCTCGACCTGACATCTCGTCATCCACCGTACAAACTCCTCCAGCAACATCACCTGCTGGCAACGTTTGCATGATCCAATGATGAAGCTGCTTCCACAACAAGATGGCTCGGTGGGGCAGATGCAGAGAACCGTTCTTTCTCCCTCTCCTCTTCCTCTCGATTCGCTTCCAGGCTCTTCCAAACTTTGTACGTGAGGAAACCAGCGAGGAACGCTGTTCCTGTACAATCACCTCAGCTATAACGTACCCTCTCCCTCCCCCCTGCCCCCTGCCCCCTGCTCCGTCCCCCATTGCCCCCTGCTCCCTGCTCCGTCCCCCTTGCTCCCTTCTCCCTGCTCCGTCCCCCCTTGCTCCCTGTCCTCCCTGCTCCCTGCTCCCTGCTCCCTGCTCCCTGCTCCCTGCTCCCTGCTCCCTGCTCCCTCCTCCCTCCTCCCTCCTCCCTGCTCCCTCCTCCCTCCTCTTACCTATCGCCAAAGTCTTCTGCATGTGCACTCGGATCCCTGAACTTTTACTCAACTCGACCCAATTACCCGACCATTCACTCAAATTACCACCCCTGATACAACAGTACCCCTACTTTATGTATCTACTACCCGGTACTTTCACACTTTTTAAAACCTCGTCTTTTAAAGTAACGTCCACCCTTTTTTTAAAAAGTATTACATCCACCCCTCCAGTCTCCCCAATTTGTACTACCCCAGTACTTTCCTTCAAGTACCCCGCCTTATCCCTCCTCAGTACCCCACCTCTTTGTAGCCTACCCCTTCATTTCACTATACCCCTACCCCCACCATATATCGCCGATCACCTTCACTTTTCATATTACCCCACCCCTACACATGATATATTTTTGTACCCCCACCCCTTCATTTTGCATCCTGGACCCCCCGTTTTAGAACTGCAGTATGGCGCGAGGTACCCCCACCCCTCTTCTTTACTAGAAGATACCCTACTTTTAGCTCTGATTCTTTTTGGTACCCCTACCCCATCCATGACCCAAAAGTACCCCATCAATGTACTTGACCACAGGGGGGTGGTGGTTGTTGGCAGAGAAGCGACTGGGGGAGCGTGCTATTTGGTTGAGAAGAAATTATCGACAGGGGTATAATTTGACTTCAAGTCAAGGAGTGGTAATGATACCATCTGAGTTCAAAAAGACAGCAAATTAAATATATGATATATGGAAGGTGTCTTTTTCATGAAACTATTTATTTAAAATACAAGGATGGTTATAAACTATCAATTTTAGTCATATTTGACAAAATATATTACTCACAATCATATCCGTAGTTCTCAATGGAAAGAGGGTGGGCCCCTCGATGTTGGTGGCACCCACCTTTCCAATCCCCCCTCGGGAAAGAGGAGAGCCAAGGCGCTCGTGTGGCGGCCATGGCGACGAGCAACCCGTTCGCGCTGCTCAATGACGAAGGAGAGGAGGAGGAGGGAGGGAAGATGCAGGTTCCCAAACCCGCTCTCTCCGCCGATCAGAAGAAGCCTCCTGTCCAGGCCAAGAAGCCCGATGCTCCCGCTGAAGGCCAGGTGAAGAAGGACGGAGAGAGGTCGGGAGGGAACTCGCAGGGCAAGAAGCCAGCGGGGAAGGAGGAAGGAGGAAGATCCGAAGGCAGGGGCCAGAGAGGAGAAGGAGGTGGAAGGAACGGTCAGAACAAGCAAGACAAGGGTGACGGCGAGAGACGCCCCCGTCGTGATCGTGACAGAGGAGGAAGAGGACGGGGAACTGGAGCGAGAGGAGGAAACGGTCGCCGCGGTGGACACCAGAACGAGGAGCCAGCACGGGAGCTCACCGAGGAAGAAAAGGCTGCCGCCGCCGCCGCCGCCGCGGAGGAGGAGGAGGAGAGGAAGAGGGAGGAGGCCAAGATGACCTTGACCGAGTACCTCAAGCAGAAGCAAGAGGAGAACGCCAGCAAGGAGGCGCTGAATGTTCGCAAGGTGGAGGAGATCGACATGAAGGGACTGAAGGTTCTCGACAAGGAGGAGGAGGACGAGCTCAATGCGCTTGCTCATGACTCCAACAAGGGCCACAAGGCCAAGAAGAGCGGAAGGCAGGGCAAGGTCGAAGTCTTGACCGATCTCAACTTTCAGATCGCCTCCGGCGAGAGCGAGAGGAAGCCGCAGGGAGGCTCCCAGGGACGCGACAGGAACACAAGAGGAGGACGCCGAGGCGGTGGAGATCGCGGAGGGGCCAGAGGGGGAGGAGGAGGAGGAGGAGGAGGGGGACGGAGGACTGGGCCGTCGGTCGAGATCAACATCAGTGATGACTCAGCTTTCCCCAAGTTGGGTTAACTCGCTTGATGGCGCAGCTTGTTTGGTGTGCTCTTTCTCTCTCTCTCTTTGCATGCAAGGCAAGACCAAGATTTTGTTCAAATTTTCGCTATCGTCTTCCAATGCCGCTTCCCCTCTTTATCATGTCAAATGGGACGGGTATTCCCACCGGGCATGCGCTACCCACGTCGTGTAGTCACTTCATTGTGCAGCAGAATGACAGTGCTGAAGGTTGTCAGTTGCGTGTTCCAACGACGCTCTTCTCTCTTGAACAGATTGCACACGGAGTTCGACGATGTCTTTACGATTTTTTCTATACTCACATGTTGACATGCTCTTTCAGCATGGACATGTTTTCTTGTACGCAGAGCTGTTTGGATTATTTCTGCCCTGCTCGTTTAATACATATCGATTACCAAACTTGAAAGCGGCGATCACGAGAAATCCGGCAGCAGCGCAGTCCAACCATCGAAGGCACTAAGGGCTTCGTTCAAGTATCCCCTCACTTCCTCCATATTTCTCTTCTTCGCCGCCTTGTCCAGGTTCTGAAGAGCCTTGTTGAACTTGTTGGCGTTGTCGTCGGCCTTTGACTTGTCAACTTGGAGCTTCGCCTTCTTGATTTTATCTATCAGCAAGTTCATTCCATCCTTTCGAAGAGCCGTATCGTACAGCCTTGCCATCCTCCTCACGTCGTCCCATGCCGAGAAGTCGTCGGCCTGACCGTCAAGCTGCTTGAAAGCCTCCTGCATGTCCTTCTCCAACGTCTTCCTCCCCGAGATCAGGACCTCAGTTTGATTCTTCAGCGCGAGCATCTGCTTCTTCCTCTGCTCCGCTCTTGCCGCCTCCGCCTCCGCCTCCCTCTGACGAGCAAGCTCTCTCTCCTCCTCGAAGATGTCCCTGTACACTCTCTTGGGAGGAGGTAGGTTCTTGGGCTGGTTGCATCCTAGCATACTCTGACAAACCCCGTCGTTCCCATCCGCCGCCTCTGCTGCCACCGCATCCTTGGAGAAGGAGGAGACTAGCTGAGCAGCGCCTAGTGTGGAGAGGAGGGAAAGGACGCTCCTCCTCCCAACCTGCTCGCCCTCTTGCTCGCTTAGACTCATCCTGGTCCTGCCAGGCAGAGCTGAGCGAGCTCGGTGCGCTCCCTTGCATTCTCGCAAGAGAGTCGCAGGATGTTGGAAAGAGGCCACGTCTCCAGCATAGAGCACAACAAGAGCGAGTAGGAGAGCGCGTTTCATCGGAAGCGTCTTGAAACTGCGATGATGGTGGAGGTACTTCACGGATGAAGGATCGTGTAGATCTGAAAAGGAACTCTTGTGAGTACGTCGAATGCCAACCGAGTTCGAAGAGAGAGGAACGCAGCCATTTCACTGATTACGTAGATTGTACTTTGAGCATCCACTAATTGCCAGCATGATTTACCACTCTTCTGATCTCGTGATGCTCAAATGCATTATTTCTCCTGCTGCTGCTGCTGCCCCTTGTGCTACTCCTACACCTGTTCCTGTCCGTGTTCCTGTTCCCCTGTTCCCCTGTTCCTGCTCTTCCCTCTTCTGCTTCCGTTCCTTTTCCTCGCCGAAGACCTACTGCTTTCCTTCGTGTTTTGAACATGTACCTTTTGCCACTTGATCGACGAGTGCTGTTCTCCTAGTTCCATGTTCATGTTTCCTACCTTGTATCCTTGACCTGCTCTACTCATCCTAGCTCTCTGCGTCCATTCCTACTTCGATCTCCTCCCACTCCATCCGATTTCCGTTCCTCCTCTTCCTCCAATTATCCGGATCCTTCTGATTCTCTTGATCCTCCTGATCCTCCTCGTCCTCCTCGTCGTCCTCCTCCTGATCACCTTCCTCTTCCTCCTCTTCCTCCTCTTCCTCCTCTTCCTCCTCTTCCCCCTCTTCCTCCTCTTCCCCCTCCTACTCATCTCCTCCTCCTCCTCCTCCTCCTCCTCCACCACCACCTCCTCCTCTCCCTTCTGAACACTTCCTCCGCCTGCATCGATCCTTTAGAACTACCACCCCCACCCACTCTCTCCTCCTTCAAAAGGACCCACCCCTCTGTACCCTCTGTCAGTGACTGAAACGGACAATCAAGTTTGACTGGTGAGGAGCGAATGAGAGGGAGGAGGAGGAGGAGGAGGGGGGGGAGGGGGACGAGGAAGGAAGAGGGGGAGGAGCAGGAGGAGGAGCAGGAGCAAGAGGAGGAGCAGGAGGAGCAGGAGGAGGAGCAGGAGGAGCAGGAGCAGGAGGAGATGACGAGAAGAAAGAAGGACGGCAAGAGGAAAGATATCAAGGAGTGGAATGGACAAGCGTAAGCGTGCTGATCCAGGGAGGAGAAAAAGAAACTTGACATTGACTGGCCTCTCACTTGACATCTTATCTTCCTGCCATGCAGCAAGTATCGGGGGTACCGAGGACAGCAGCGGGGCAGCAACAGGGAGCAGCGGAGAACATGGAGGGAGGGAGTCCGCAAGAGCGGATCGCCGCGCTGGAGATCAGGTTGCGACTGACGCAGGACGCAGCTGAGGCGCAGGGGGTAAATCGCAGCCTCGAGTCGTTGATCTTTGCTGTCAAGGCGGAGGACGACCCTCCTTGAGAGAGGAGAAGAGTGAGAAGAGGAGGGGTGTTGGCCTGACCCCTCCTGCTCCTTCCTCTCCTGTCTCCTTCTTCCCTCCTTCCTCGTTCCTCGTTCTTCGTTCCTCCTGCTCCTGCTCCTGCTCCTGCTCCTGCTCTTCCTGCTCCTGCTCCTCCTCCTCCTCCTCCTCCTCCTCCTCCTCCCTCTCGTTTTCTTCTCCACTGCTACCATGAGCAAAAACTCTGGAAACCTGCCTCCTCCACCACACCTTTTCTCCTCCTTCCTCCTAACCTCATCATGAGTGACATGGCCGATGGCAGGCGAGGCGGCAGAGAAGGCTGCGTTCCTGCTGGGAAATGAGAGCAAACTGCTGAGACGTCAGAATCATGAGCTGAAAACAGCGCTAAAGCAGCAGGGAGGACGGGGAGCGAGCAGGAGGGACGTGTACGAGGAAACAGTCATGTTCATGGACAGGTTCCTGACGGTAGGAGAGCTAGTAGAAGAGAGTGAAGCACTGCACGAGAGGATGAGGGAGTGCGAAGAGAGAGAGGAGAGGAGAGAGCGGGAGCTGGCGCAGGCAAGATATGGGGCGAAGCAGGTTGTAAGCGATGATGGATGTATCAACAGTTGCAGCTGACTGTTTGTTTGTGTTCTTGCAGGTGGATGGGATAGTAGAAAAGGTTCAGCTGCGAGTTGACGAGGTTGAGAAGACGATGAAGGTCAGTCAGAGAAATAGTCGTGTTCTTGATGTTTTGAACCTTGACTTGTACAGAGGCTGCAGACTGAGACGACAAGACAGGTTTTGATCTTCTTCAGTTCATATTCATCTTCTTCCCATGTTGAGTTTTATCTCCTGCTCCTGCTTCTCCTGCTCCTGCTCCTGCTCCTGCTCCTGCTCCTGCTCCTGCTCCTGCTCCTGCTCCTCCTCTTGTTCCATTCCATGATGGCTATTCTCACAGATGGCAAGCAAGAATGTTTGACAGGATTCTCCCTCATGTATTTTCCTAACGCCGCTGCGTACAGAAATCCAAGTCTCAAAATCACCACTTGGATGAATCGACAACGGTATGTACCAGAGTTCCTGACGATTTCTATCGTTCAACGGCAATGATGTCATTCTTGACATTCATCGCAAACAATAGCTTCAACTTCACAAGAGGATTCAAAATCTTTCAGACGAGGTAAGATTAGACTCAGGAGTGAACGTCTGAATCGAGTAAGACGTTTCCTCGACCAGCTGAAGATCAAGGAGGTTGAAATAAGTGAGATGAAAGATCAACTTCACGTTGCCAAGGTTGTCAAATGAATATTTGAGAGGCTTTTGATGAGCGAAATTCTTGTGGCGATTCTTGATTTATTTTAATATTTAGCTGTCAAATATCATGTCTTTGTCTTGTCTTGACCTGTCTTGTCTTGTCCTGTCCTGTTTACAGTGGCCTTTTCTTTTCTTGACCTACAGGTTTCTTGTCGTGTATTGACTTGTGTTGTCTTGTCGTATTGTGTACCGTAAAGTTGTATTCTCAATTCTACCTTGCTCTTGCTCTGTCATGCTTTTTCGGATGTTACAATCAATCTTTCGATCTGATCTCAAAAAAATTGTTTCCAGGTGCCGTATCACGAGCAAAGATGGCTGATAGAACGAAGTGCTTTCGAAGACAAGATTGAAGAATTGGAAAAGACTGTCAGTTGTTTGTTTACAGCCTTGCTGTTTTGCATGTCTGAACTTGCCGGATAATAAAAGTGCAGGTTACGGGCATGTTTGCTGAGATCCAAGCAAAGAGCTACAAAGTCGACAAACTGGTAGCGATGATCACTTGGAAATGACTTGAAGCTCACTTGTGACTATCAATGCAGACAAAAGAGATTGAATCAATGAAGAAAGATGCGACCAGAAGAGAAGAATATTGCCAGGAGTTATCCAAGAAGTTTATGTCACAGGTGCACAAATCATCATCGACAAGATTTGTAGCAAACAAATTACACACTAGTCTCATCCTTGATATGATATCATTTCTCCCATGTAGCGTTTCTCCTCACGTTTCTTGTTTGTTGTTGGTTTGTTTTTTTGATCTTTTGGTTCCGCAGGAAATAACCAAGAACGAGCAGCAAAAATCAACTGCCGATCTTGCATTGCGCTATCAAGAGCTGCTCGAGGTATTTGTTGTTGTGTTAGAACGATGCCTCTGTTTCATCACGCAAGTTGAAACAAGTGAAACAGGAGCATTCATGGGTCAAGAAACTGCATGCGGTTGCCGAGGATCAGGTTTGCTGTTCAAACCATGTTTGTAACAACGACTATGTTTTTTGTGTTGTTGATCAGAAAGTGATGGTTTATCTTTATTGTTGATGAAGAAAATGATTAATTCATGGGAGACTGTTGAACCTCGACCTGAAAAATTACAATGTGCCCCTGTAGTTTGAAAATTTCTGGTTGTGTTTGAAGAAGGGATTTGGAGAGTTGTTGTACCATCACATGACACGATGGGTCAATCAGATAGTTCGCCTCCACGAAGAGCTTCATGATGCAAATATGACGATGAAGGTGAAACTGTCCATGTTGTTTGATAAAGTGTTTATGATGTTTGCAGGAGCGAGAAGCAAACAAGATAGAGATTATGTCAAAGACAAATAGAATGGTTGATGATTGACATGAGATGAGAAATGAAACCTTGACACGATTGAAGATTGTCGACGTCGAAGAAGCGAAGATAATGCAAGAACAATTGCTACAAACGTTTGCGACAGCTGCGCATTCATGAAAAGTGATTGATCTTTGTGCAGAAAGCAGCAATTGAACAATGAGATGGGGTTGAAACAGATGCAAGTTGAGGAGACAAGAAAAAGTATTTGATGTGTTCAATGACAAATGTTTTGTCACATGTTATGCTGTAGCGTTGATCAGATACAACGAGCTGAACATGGAAATGAAGATGACACAGGTAAAACCAATTCATATAGATGATGATGACGATGATGACGACGATGATGATGATTGAAAGAATGATATTGACATGATGGATAGGCTCAAATT